ACACACACACACACACACACACACACACACACACACACACACACACACACACACACACACACACACACACCTCCCTCCTTAAAGGTTTCTCTTGAATTTTTATGTCTTCATCTCATTCTTCCATCCTGCTGGGCAGCCCCCCTCCATCACCCCGCTTCCCTCTGAATATTTCATCTGACTCGTCCCTGCAGAGAATTTTCAGGGCCACGGAGATAACTTAAAACTCCAGAATTAATGTGACTCCATTGGCTGTAATCTAAAATGTAGAAGCTCGCTTTGCTTTGGAATATTAATTAAAATTTGATTAATTTCCAAGCTGACTTTTTTTTCCCTTTCCTTGGTATTTCGAGCCCTTTTGCGCACCGGGGACTTTTGAGTTTTCCCCCCCTTCTGACCACCAATCCGCCTGATTCGTTTTGGGCWGCTTGGTGCCTCACCACATCATTTCCCCGACTCCATCTGAAAACCCCAGGGACTCGTTTATCTCTCCTCTCCTGTGCACAAAGCTGTCACTTCTAATCAAACAAGTCATTGTAGCTAAAACTAATAATAATAATAAGCCGGGCTAACTGCTCTCAGGCCACATGTAGGTATTTCTTCTCCCCTCTCCTCTTCCTCCTCTCTCGGATTGAGTTCTAACCCAGAGTAGAAGGAGAAGAGTATCCTTCCCTGCTGCCCTGCTTTGTCACGCAAGCGCTCATTCTTAAATCATTTTCCCATGTTACTTTTGGCAGATAGTTAGCCACTGCAAAAACAGACTGAGACCGAGGTTAAACACAGAGAAGAATAATATTTCCCAGCTTCACATCAGCATCTGAACCAACCCCCGACCTCCATGTAATTGTACAATGAGTTTATTTTGGTAAATCCTGACTTCTGTTCAGGCTTGCGCCCCTCGTTTCTTTGGTAGAAAGTTTGGCAGGTCGGAGGGTGCTGTTGTCCTACAACACTTGACYCGTTTTGCGTATCAGAAAGAAAGCAGTAAACGTCACCACAAAAAGAAACGTGTTAAACCTGAATCAGCTTCTGTAGAGTAAAACAGGGGCTTTCTTGGTGAATGAGCTTTGACACCTTTGTACAGGCTGAAGTTTTGTGTGGTTGGCGTTGGGAGGCAGGATGTGAGAGTCTGCGCTGACTTCTCTTTGGTGGTCATTGACTTCAGCATTTTGATTTGGCTTTTGTTTGATGTTGAGGGGGCGGCGGCCGAGCGCAGGCCGGAAGGCCTGGGGCTTCCTCTGCAAGACATCTAAGCATCAAAGAGCGCAGGCCTAACTGGCTGCGAGGAGGTGTAGCCTGGTTCAGAGCTGGAGAAAGTCTCTCCAGCTGAAAGAACAACCTTGGCCCTTCGCTAAACAACGTGGACTCCGTTTTAAGAGTCAGCAAATAAAAAATAAGAGAGAGAGAGAAGGATTCCAGTCGGCTTCGCTCGGCATAATCCAGCCTTGAATTCCATCGTCTGCTCCCGCCTGAACCTGTGCTGTAATATGGCAGCTGGAGCCATTTTGGCCAAGAGGTGGCCGAGCGCTGGTGGAGGATGGTGAAGAGAAGGACTTGGCAGACGGCGGTGCTCGTCGTGGCCATGTGTCTGCYTGCTTGACTGGCTGCACATTAGCTGGCAGGCCGTTTCCATTTCTGCTCCGTGCACATCTTTCCTTCATCCCACTTCGTCTTTCTATAACCCCCGCTTTTTTTRTTCATTCTGGCGTCCAGCTTCAGTGCAGCTTTAAGGAAATCAAAATTTAAATCCAAACACACAACAGCAATCTTCTGTTCTGGGATTCTTTAAATGGGACTCCATTACATATTTGWATGTCTATCCAACCCTCAAAATATGCAGCTCAAGAAATGTCAAATCCCWTTTTTAAGCCAAAACATTTCTTATTCAAAGGCATGTTTTCAATCAAAGTATTGATTGTCTTTAAAGATAAAATACTAATCTCCCGTCTTTCTTGTCTTCTTTTGAGAGCAGATCAACCGACCTCTGACCATGAAGAAGGAAGGCATCCAGACCAGGAACAGGAAGATGTCGAGTAAGTCCAAGAAGAGCAAAAAGTCCCAAGACAACATGGACGACTTCTCCAAGAGCCTGATGGACAAGAGCAGCTCCTTCAGCCCCGCCGCCCTGTCCCGCCACATGTCCTCCTTCCCTCCCTTCTCGCACTCCGGCCACATGCTGACCACCCCCACACCCATGCACCCATCTTCAAGCCTCCCGTTTGCCCCRCACCACCCCTCCAGTATGGTCACAGCCATGGGCTAAGGCTCCCCGAGCCCCTACTGCCACACCCTTCGGTACCTCTGCAGACCTGCTTCCACGTCCCAAAAGACTCCTCCTTGGTTTCGATCCGACTCCCCCCACCTCCCCGTCTGGCCGCCGAGACCCGGCGAGAGAACGGCGGGCCCCTTTTTCTCCTCAGCTGTATGTTATTTTTTTTAAATAAAACTCCAAGTGTACCTCTGCGATGTAAATGCTTTGCAGACTTGACTTGACTGTGGCGCACTGACCTCCTTGGTCGGGGAAAAGACTCATTTGYTTCCCACCGACCCAGGAGAAAAGCGGACATTTCTCTTCGCCGTCACCCTCGAGGCTGTCCTCCACATGAGAAGTAGCTCCATTTGTGTACAAAAAGCCATTCTCCCACCAGAACAGACATTACCAGAACTTTCTGACGCCCTCTCCCTTAAAACCACCTCTCCTCCCCGAACACCTGTGTAACAGGAAATCCCTCCTAGCTCCTCTCTTTTTTTTTCTTCCTTTCTCTTCCTGAGAAGAAGCTGAACATATTTGTACAAATTGTATGAAATACAGTACATTTAATGAAGACTTTTTAATTAAGTAAGAAAAAAAAAAGACCTAAAACATGCCCCTGAGCAGCTAATGACAAAGAAGGGTACGAGCCGCAGCAGGTGGAAGAGCCTTGCCACCGGAGGAGCGAGGGGAACGAAGCCTCGAAACGCTGGAGGAGGGAAAAGAACAGAGGAAGAGAGGAGGTGAAGAGGGGAAAGACTTTTGAAAAACAGGGCAGGCCTTGGATTTTGCCTGCATGAAATGTGTTGCATTAAGTTCGCAGAGAGTCGGCGCCTCTGGCCTGCCGACGTGTCTCTCTTCTTTACTTTTCTTCGTTTTGTTTCCTTTTTGGATGTGCTATAGGTCTCGGGCAATTGGTTTGTGTTGAAGCGCACACACGCACACACGCACACACTCGCACACAAACACACACATAATGGATCACCTGAAAGACTTTTTTCCTTTCTGCCCACAGATTATATGCATTGTGAAAAGTTCCTGTATTTGTTATTTGTATGTATAAATCAGAGTACCAAAAATACGAAAGAAACAAAGATGTAGAATTATTTCTTTATGTTATGCAGACTGAATGGTTGTAAAAAATTTAATAATAATCACTAGTGTAAAATATGACTGCTCTTTTTTTTTTTGTTTCGTAATATTTTTTTTCTTCTTTGAAAATAATAAACTAGTTTAAATCTCTGTTGACATGTTAGCACTGTGGTCGAGAACTTTTCTTTTCTGTTGCTTTTTCAGAGCTGTGTGATCTCCTTCACACTGCACACACACACCCACTCGCCTGCCCACAGCGACCACAACGTACAGACGCGTTGCTGAATTCTCTTGCTCCTTTTTACTTAGAAATTTTTTTTTTGATTCGCTCAGCCTTCACAGGAACCACTCTCGTGGTCAGTTGAACACAAACAGGAAGAGAAGAAATAAACAGTAGCGATGGAGGAACAAATCAGARGGGGGCAGGCCGCGCAGGAACGGCTGGGTTAAAGAGGCTTTTGTCTCGTTCTATTTGAGCAGAAATACAGCAGCATGCAAAACATAAAATAAAAAATAGAGTCTGATCACAGCTGCAAATCATTCTTAAAAACTGAGCTGCAGGACTTCATCTGTAGCCCCATGTCACCTCRCCTGCTCAAGACTTATTGAGTCTTCAGTTGGGAAGAAAAGAGGAACTATTTGTTGCTTTCAATCACTCTTTTAAACCGCAATGTGAATGGAGCTTCCTCCACGCCTACAATGGTCGTTGATGTTCCCACAGCAGTCGAAGTGAAAAATCTCCAGGTTTTTACYGCTAAAAGTAAAAACAGACGGGCAGCAACACAATACGTCTGAACTGCAGGGAGACAAAGTCAAAAAATAAGAAAAAAAGGAAAGCTGCACACGTAGAGCCAGAGTGCCATCAAAGGAACTTATTCGAACCATTTGCAATTTAGGTTCCAGAATAAAACTAAACTGCCCCCAGAAAGAGTTTCAAAACCTTTCTCCACATTACCATACCAGGAATTCACAAGAGGCGTCCTCTTCGTTTTAACAAACAAGTCTACACACAACTGCTGTCGTCAGCTCTGCCTCGCTTTGCTTTCCCTCTTCCATGCAGGTCAGCTCATGTGGCCTCGCTGGCTTTAATCAAACCCTGATGTGAGAAGAGACATTTTTTTTAATAACGTGGGTGTTTTCCAGATAACTTTGAGGTGGCTGCGAAACAGCAACTAGTGACTAATTGGTAATTTAATSAACGTCTTATGAAGAAATGACAGCAGCATCTTTTTCGAAACCAAAAAGAGGTGGTGGATGTTTTCAGAATAAAAGCACACAAAATCACGAAAAGGAGGAGTTTAGGAAGCAAAGCAAAAAAAAAAAAAAAATGTAACCTTCATCAAGTTTTATGAAAGTGGAACAAGTTTGGTCTCATTTGCTACCAGATATTTGTTGGTCAGATACTTTTCTGTCTTATTTCCATGAGTTATCATCCAGCAGGCTCCACAACCCTCTAAAACTARCTTTTCCATATTGAAACCTTACTGCTGGAATGTCCAACATGGCTGCAGCCCTCTCCTGCCTCCTTGCACAGAAGGCCATACAGAAGTCAGGTATTTGGCATCATTTGTTTCTGAGCCGCTGTGACCAATCGGGAGATTTGCTCCTGTGTTTTAATAGTGAGGTCAAGAGGGCACAAGGGATGAGGATGGGAATAGTGTGTGTGTCTGTGTGTGCATAAAGGGATTGAGGACAGCTTTGCCCCAAGGTGGGACCCCATGGCCCCTGGCTGACCTTTTTCTCCCCTCCCCTTGTGGTGTTCAGCTGTGGACGTTTGGCCAAGGGTGACTGAAGGTGCAGCGACTGGCTCAGGTGAGGACGGAGCCCTTGATCTCGTCATCGTCGCCACAGAGACCACTTCTCTCCCCGTCTCTGTCTGCCCCTCTTCCTGCGTCTGCCTCCTCGTCTTTCAGGTGAGGACGATGACGGATTTGCGGACATAATCGCCTCTTAGAAGTAGTCCATCTTCATCAGGGTTGGGCTGGTGTCACCGTCTTCAGAGGTCGGGTCAAGCACCGGGGTCAGCATTGCGGAGGACTTCAAAACGCAAACATGAGTGGGTGAATTATACATTTTGTAAAATGTGAATTTTTTTTCTGCATTGCTAAAAACAAGCATCATCACCTCACAGGAAGCTGGAGCGTATATACAGGATGTGTTCGTGTTTTCATCACACCTTCCTTTACATTCAATGTAGCTTCTACAGAAAAAAAGAATCATGTCTTGCTTTAGTTGTGTATCACTTCCTTTTCACGTAGAAAAAACAGTGTTTTGCATTAGTAATGCTGGCTTGCTGTGTATGGACCAATATGGGTCAGTGTGGTCACATGTGGGGAAACAGGTTGTTTCTTGTGGGCGAATGATTCTCCTCCTATCCCGCAGATTAAACCAAATCCTGCTTAATGATGGTCATATACACTATTTTTTGATACAGCATTTAGCCCTAACCTCAAAGGCCYGAAACACTAGAATGCAATGGCCTTTCTCGTTCTTTGCCATCCAAACTTTAATAACAAAGATATAAAAATGCATCCAAATAATGAGTTTAAGTGGTCAAAACTAGTGAAAAATCCTGAAAACTTTAGAAATAGGCCGAGAAGCTTGCTGCTCCTCCACATCGAGAGGAGCCAGTTGAAGTGGTTTGGGCATCTGGTAAGGATTCCAAGACATGTCCAATTCAGAGAAGACCCCATGGGAGATCCAGGACACGCTGGAAGACGTGGTTGTCTGTAGTTCAGTTATTTTACCTGCAAAATGACGGCATCCCACCACGAGGTGAAAGTGGGTTCAAAAGCRGGCGAAATTTTAAGTAAAATAACCATATCCTTGATTTTTTTGCCAACTGCTTTCACTGCAGCCCTCTTACAAGTTGTAAATTTAAACGGGAACACCCCGACCAGTGGGAATTCCCAGTCAAAACACGAGAGAGTTCAGAATTCAAGATGGTAGCTACTCACCACAACTCAACAGTGAGTAAAACTCTGTTCCTTTTACTTTTACTAGTATTTTTGTAGTATTTATTTCACATTCAGTGGTTTTCAATGTTTATTAAAGAACGTGTAAAAAACACAGTTTCTATGCAGCTCAGTTATTGTTTTTTACTGATTCTCAACTGTAGCAATGAAACGAGGAATGTGATATTTCATTTTTAGTTGAAGTCAATCATGAAACCTTGAAGTTAATTGCAACTGMCCTTTTAAGGGCCACCATGATGCTCATGTGGCCCTCGGTGAAAATGAATGAGACACCTCTGCTCTGTGGAGTCAGTATCAGGATCGTGTGTWTCTGTTCTCTTGTGTTCCCTGTCCTCAGTCAGTTGCTGCGTTCTGTTTACATCATATTCCGGGAACTGGTAGTGACGTCATTTCCCAACAAACCATGAAACTACATTCCAGTTAGCCGACAGGCGATTGCATTGTTGCCGCTAGCTACAACACTGCTACAATGTAAACAATGACAAAAAGAGAGCTCTACTATGTACGTCATGCAAATAAACATTGATTTTAACCCTTGCAGCATTGCACAGAAAACACACTACTTGTGCGAGTGATGAAACATGCACAAAAAAATTAAGCAAGATAGTTAATGGTAAAAGTTACGGAGTTAACTTTCTAAAGCGGCGAGTAGTCGCCATCTTGAAATCGAAACTGGGGGCAGTTGCATTTCTTCCACTTTACGAGTGGAATATTACCACTGGTTGGGGCGTTCCAGTTTAAATCTACCAACGGGAACTGGAAAATTACCACTTCCCAGGACTACTGGAACYCAGCAAGTTTCCTCTGTTCTCAGCCAGCCTCCCTCACCTGTTCTCAGTTCTTCAATTAGGTCAGCTGTTTCCAATACATTGTTGCCTCTGTTCCATAACCGGTTTCCTGCAACCACCAGCACCTCCGCAGATCATTGCAAGGGTTTTGCGATCAGTCTCAGGGCCTCCTTCTGTTTCTTTGAGCTGTCCTGTGTTTTTTTAAATTTTTGTGTGAGTTTTGCTGCCACATCGCTTTATTATTTTATTTTTATTTCTCGAGCTACTTGTGTCTGCCTGCACCCTGAGTTGATACTAAACACTACCATCGATCGAGAACGAGCAGGAAGTTCTAAGTCATGATTCGAAACTCTCGAGTCAGTTTCCAACGAATATACAAATTCATGTATTTAACATATGCAATGAATATTCATGGTTGATCTTCAACAACTAGAAATTTGTTCTAAAAACTGATTAATTTTCTTTGGATGTTTAAACATAACTGAATACTGGATTCTGAACACATTCCTGAAGTCACCTTTCARTGAAAAATGAATCCTTTTAAAATTCCAGTGAAATCGGCCAAACTGTCCAGAGCTGAACGTCCCCAAAGGCACAGTGATGATGACGAATAAGAAGCTGCCTTTTGTCCTGAGCCTTACAGATCAGTTCCATTATAAATCTGACTCACTTTTTGTTTGACCTGCCAAACAAAACTTTCCCCTTCAATCTAATGCATGAGGTTTCTCCATGATCTAAAATTATCTAGGAAAAACTTGATTAATGTTTAATCTCTAAGTGTCAGTCCACCTAATCCTCATTTTACATTAAGTGAGAACAAAARAATACATAAAAATTGGACCAAAAGCTTCAATTTTTAAGAAAACAAAGCAACAAAGCTGGCTTTTTCCTCATAAAAAGGATTGTATTATRAGCATTTCTCACATCATATTGTTTGACGGTCATATTCAGAGTGAAATTTCTGTGACAGCTGCCAGGCWGAAAAAGGAAGTAATAGTACCTCGACAGTCTATAGAAACTTGCATTGAAAGTGTTTGTCAAAGTTGAGTCTAGTTTGGTCATGTTTGTGGTTTATCTCTCCTCAACTCCCACTTGGTTTCATTTAGTAATTATCACAGCTCTTCAGCTTCATCAGTGCTAACTATTCTTAGCTGTTTGTCAAGACTTTTTGCTTTGGTGAAACCTTGTGGTTCATTTTATTGGTTTCATGGGGTAACGGCTTTTTTGACGCTGTTTCTGGACATGTTGRGTTTGCATTCTGTTATGTGTCTTTTCATAAAGTTGACATTTCTGCTTCCTGTCCARGTCTTCCTAAGTTCAAACTTTAGATGCATTTGCACTTTTTGGATAGGCGCAATTTTCTTTCATTCCAAAGAACTGATTTATTTGAATTATAAAAG